CACCGTGCGCCTTGCCCACCCACTCTCTGTGTCCTTATCCCACTCAGCAAAGATGTTTAATTTAGTGACAGTCCGCGTTGCACATTAAAAACAAAAAAGATTGCGTGTTACATTCTCCCCGGATGTCTTTCCACATCTTACCATGGTTCATAATAACCGAACTGACAGTCACACACAGTCAATGGGCTTCTGCACAGACAGCTCATTATGACTGAAGGTCTCTCTGGCTGATGGCTGAGCGTTAGACTTGAGGTGTGGGGAATGCCATCTGATCAGGATAAACAAATGAATATGCTCTGGGATGTATGACTTCAGGAGAGCGATTATTTAACGGCCATGATTTCAGCCTGTTTTACTAATCCATTGATGACTTAGCCTTTCGAACACAGGCCAGGAAAACACAGAAATGATAAGCCCAAAGGTTTCAAACATTAAATGTTAATTGCCCCTATACCAAGGTCAAGGCTTCGGCCTGGTGTGGCCCACAGGCATTTGCTGACAATGTTGGTGCAGTGCGCAGGCTGCTCCCTGCAGAGGGGGCTGTAAGGTGGTGCAATTTTGCTGCCAGGAGCAGGTATCAGCAAATCGGCCCTCAGCCGGAGCCTCTGGGGGCCGGCATGCCGCGCAACGCTCCGAGACAGAAGCGCGTTCTCTCTGCTGCGCATCACGATAGGCTTTGGTTTTCTGTGGATGCTGATCAATTAGGGGAGGCTTTGATCCCCCTGACCCTCACCGGGAATGATCTGTGCTCTAATACGTGTTTTCACCTCCTCCTCATGACCCAATGAGCTGTTAACAGCAGACTGCAGAGAAATGAAAGGATGAAGAATGCAGTCCAGGAGAAGAGTCCCTTACCTGCATGCTGACTCTGCATGTCCTGCACAATAATTGCTGCTGGACACCTGTTTTTCCATTGAATGCTACGCATTCCCAGGTCACCCGGAGCAACGTGGGCCATTTCTAGCTGGTTTTCAGGTCCCTCTGATTGCTCGGCTGCTCCTAACGTGGTCCAGAAGGAGAGGTACTTTCTGTTGTGTGGATTATCTCTGACGGGAATTCCCCAGAGCATGTAGAGAACACGCCATCTGTCCTCGTGAAATGTTTTAATTAAAGACGCTGCGTATAGTGGCATGGCCTATCGATTACTTGCCGCTGTTCCGATTTGTCCTCAATGTAGCTGATCACATCAGACATGAGTTTGGCTTTCCCAGTATTCCACATCCGGATGGCAGCTGTGTGGTGGCTCCCGGCTTTCTGTGCATCCTTTTCAGCTGTCCCGTGTAGTCGCTCTATCACATATCTGCTCACTGCGGCACTCCAGGTGAGACTTCCGTGAATAACATTTAAATTAACTTTTATTTCCATATTTGTTTCAACACACACACACACACACTTGGGGAACAGGACATTTTGAGCACTTTGTATTGTGTTGTACAAACTGAAAGCAGAAATAAATATTGTTTCTGTCGGTCGCTCTCAAATAGAAGTCGTTTTGCTAAAAGTAGAAGAGTTAAATAAATACAAAACATCATGGTTGGACTGTAAGGAACAGTGGTTGAATTTGGCTTAAATTTCTGAGTGTCTGTGCTCTTCTGCGATCCTCAGGCAGGTTGTGAGGAACGTGAGAATGTGAGGAAGACCATCAGTGCGATAAAGGTCACTCTGCAGCAGTCTGTCTCGCCTGCTCCCCGGCCGCTCAGCAAACAGTGCCACTTCGGTGCCCCACGCACGATAATTACTTTTTTCCCCTTTTGGAAAGCTTCCCTCGGGATTAATTGCCTCCTCCCACGACAAAGTCTTACGTCGTAATAAGGATGTTGCCATGGAAACCGCATCTTCACCGTGAACTGAGCATAACTCTACGATTCGCTGCGGCGGCAATGGCGGGCTCTGGGATGGACCCCAGGGCCCCAGCGGCAGGACCACTGCAGGGCCAGACAGGAAACATGCTTCCATCACCTAGCTGCGATAAATCACTGGCTGTATCCAAAGGGCAGGGTGCTCAGATGCACCATTGGACGGGGTGGCTGATGGCTCGTCTCAAGCAGTATGAGCCAAACCTAAACCTAACTCTAAGCCTAACCATATCCCAAATCATAACTAACCCTAAGCCTAACCCTAAACCTAACCCTATCCATACCCATAATCCTAAGGCTAACCCTACACCTAACTGCTAAGCTCAGATGCACCATTGGACGGGGTGGCTGATGGCTCATCTCAAGCAGTATGAGCCAAACCTAAACCTAACTCTAAGCCTAACCATATCCCAAATCATAACTGTAACCCTAAGCCTAACCATAAACCTAACCCTATCCATACCCGTAATCCTAAGGATAACCCTATACCTAACTGCTAAACCTAGCCCCTAACCATGACCCTTACCATAATCCTAATTACAGCTCATGAGATGAGTAATAATAATAAACGCAGAAAGTTAAATCATATAGCAGGGATTCTTTAAAAATGGTGAGAAACTCGTTCACCCATTACTGAAATTTCAGTTTCATGTTTAAAGTATTAACTACATTAAAAAAAAAAATCCATGGCGTGTTCCCCCCCAGTGTCCCCTGGAATCGCCTCCACACTATGCTGACCATAGCATAAGCACTGGCCCTGCGCACCCAGCAACGTGCTGACGGTGAGCAGGTCTGCCCAGTGCTTACGGGAGGCAGATCTGAGAAGCATGGCACTAATGAGGACGAGGCGGTAAAGGCTGATGCTGAAGCTTACACGCATTCCCTGCAACGGTAAAGGCCAACGCCGGAGCTTACACGCATTCCCTGCAACAGTAAAGGCCAACGCCGGAGCTTACACGCATTCCCTGCAACGGTAAAGGCCAACGCCGGAGCTTACACGCATTCCCTGCAACAGTAAAGGCCAACGCCGGAGCTTACACGCATTCCCTGCAACGGTAAAGGCCGACGCCGGAGCTTACACGCATTCCCTGCAACGGCTTCATAGCCTGCCCTGCTCGTTAGTGATCTGTGGCCTCGTTAATATGCAAGGCAGGTACTGCAGAAGATTCCTCTATTCATCTGTCTGGGGAATCGGGGGTCAGGAATAAAGCATATAGCCAAAATATTTATATTGTTTTATGTGTAGCTGTTTTAATGCCTGCTTGTGTAATGTTGGTTTAACAATATGTGTTGTTGGCATAGTGGTGTGCGAGTCCTCCCAGGTTCCACAGCTGTGCAGATTAGACGGACTGGTGTAAAAGAGAGTGTTCAGCACCCTGCTTCCTACATCATCTTCATATACCTGTGAGTGACAAGATGAAGGCCTGACATGAACTACAGACAGCTACAGCTAACCTACGGGCAATATTCGCTCAACATATTTTCCCAGCAGAGGCACTGTGATGTTGATGTGCCTCGATGATATCTCATTGAATCATTTGTCATTTCATGGATGCCCAGTCTGAGTAAGTAAGTCTGAAATGGACAGAAAGCACGGCCAATCAGAAGAGGAAGGGCAACAACCTTCCCACCCACTTGCTGTCCATCAGAGTGGCCCCTCCCAGAGAGCTATGTTTCATTAGCAAACACTGCTTGGAAATTGGCAATTAATGCTGGTGGGGGAAGAAAGCATCAGCCACAAGTCTGCTTCTGAAGGCCCTTTTTGTTTGCTTTTGCTTGGTGAGGCACTGTGTCCTGTCTTCAGATAAATGATAAGCACTAAATGTCACACCGCCGTCTTCTAACAAAATGTATTTACACAGACAAACAGGAATGTGAGTAAAGTTGGTGTGAGATCCAGAGATCAGCATCGGTCACCCTGCAGTAAGATACTTTTTCAGATACGTTTCAGTCACATAAAGAAACATGCCGCACCTCTTACCCACAATGCAACCACAATCCAATTATGTATACGTCTGAAGAGTTGGGTAAACTGACAATTAAAGGATAGTAAATGATGCCAGTTCTGTTTGTTTCACTTACGGGCAGCACCGTTTGGGTTTTATAGAGAGAGAAGATGGTTGCAGTGGATTAGCACCATAAAAATTGCGAGCGTGAAATGGGGCCAAACAGATGATTATGTTAGGGAATGGCTAGTGGCTCATGTGTCTCAAGGCATTGTGGTGATGTGTGTGGGGCACCTGGGGACCGGGGAGGGGACAGCATCGATTTCCAGTAAGTCAGGATGCGGTACCTGGTCATGTGAGTGGACATGCTAACTGCTAACTGCTAACTGCTAGAGTGAGGTTAATTCCCAGAAGAGGAGCTTGCACAGGAGGGAGAACAGAGTGTATCTCTGCCTTCTATCTGCTCTGCATTCTCTTCTTTCTTTAATAAAAACTAATTTAGCCATCCATCCATCTTGCCCCTGCTTATCCTGGTCAGGGTTTGGGGTGGGGGGGCTGGGGCTTGTCCTGGCCCGGCTGCAGCCTGCATCTATGAACTGCTGAATGCTGGCAGATTATTATGTCAGAAGTACAGCGTGAAGTTTGGTTTTTCAGAGACATGAAACACATTTTCTGTCTTGGATGAAATCCACAAAATATAAAAGATAATTCAGCCCCCATTCCTGGTCAGCCTCTGCTTGTGCTCCCTGAGAGCCTGATGCCATGGACTCCTCTCTGATGTTTAGCGCTATATTGGGTGGTCCTCAGCCCGGCACTCAGAGCTGCCGTTTATGATGGACTCCTCTTGACCCCAGACCCAGAAGAGACCTCAATACCATTTATTAACCTGAGACCCCCCCCCCACCATCCCTTCATGAAATCTTGGCACATGAAACAACCTGGGTCACGGCTCCAGGTTCCACGTCACAAAGTAAACACACCATGACGGATGGCAAAAAGCAAACGCACCGTGGCGGGTAACGCAAAGTAAACGCACTGCAATGGATTACACACTTATCGCCCCCCCCATCCCTTTTTTAAAATAGTATTAGATCCAATGAGGCATGTGGCGGATGGCCAGCGAGGCATGTTCAGGAGGGCCGGAACAGGGCCAGAAGTGACCTCAATGTGACCAAGTAAGTGAATGGGCGGGGCTTACCTTTGGGTACTGCTGCACCGGGATTAGCACCCTCTCCGAGAGTTTGATGTTTTTGTTGCTGATGACGTCCAGGTATTTCTTCACGTCACCGTCCTTCCTCAGCTCGTCACCCTCGTACTTCTCGATCTCTGCGGGAGAGCAAGCGAGAGGCAGTCACACGTGGGGTGTCACACGAGAGGCAGTCACACGGGGGGTGTCTCCGCCCTAGTGGGAAAGCAGGATTCACACACAGATCGACATGGAGACAAGTGAACAAGACCGAAAACCGTTTATAGGCTTGCCATAATTATTCACAGAACATCTTGGGATTTTTAGATAATTATAAAACAGCATGTGATCAAATGTATTTACAGTTGACATCTTTCTGTCTCTCTGACAACTGGCCCTCAATATTGGTGCCGTATTTACACCATTGAAGTAGACCATTATGAAATTCAGTCATTAATATTCCAATCATCATTCTTATTCATAGCTTACATATGTTCAAATGGCCCTAAGTTACAATTAGAGTACCAGGCTGGATATTCAGCAGAAGCAACAGCACAATTTCAAGCCGCTGTTCCACAGGGTAGTCATTTCCAGCTTGGTAGGTATCAGCTAGCTAGCTCGTTAGTCTACTGACTTGATTTCTCGTCACACTTTTCCTGACTCATGCAATTGAAGCCTAGGATGCAGAAACGGAAACAGCAGCTGCTCATGCTGTCCACCAAACAAGGCCCAATCTTGTGACCCCGACCCTGATTCAGCACCAGTTTCTGGTCGGTATCTCTGGTTGAGTAGAACCTGCCTGAAATGATCATGCTGAAAACAGACCCTCCTCCATCCCTCCTCTATTTAAATTCACACATGCTCTAAAAATGTATTTTTTCCTCTAGAGTATTGCTTTCAATACTTTTCATTGTTCAACTCCAATTATTAATCATTGGAAAGATAGTGACAAGTGGCCTATATCCACCTTTGCATAGGCTGTGAATTGGGATAGAGGTAGTATCCCTTTAAGGACCGTAGGCTCCTGTCCACAGGCCTCTTCGTATAAATACTGCCTCCCACAGAGTAGGACCCTAAGGATGTTCTTTTTATCATGGATTAATTACCTCTGGGATAATTACCCATGGCTTTACATTTTCAGAGAACGCTGCAAACTGCATCCTTGATTACATCTGCGACATTCTGTCACACTGCACGTCTCTGGTCTTAAGTTTAAAAAAACCCCAAAATAAACGTTTGTTTGTCTAATATTCCCATTATCTGAGCATTAACTCTCAACATTTCAGCAAATGGGTTTGCTGACCAATTAAGGCCCATTTTCTCACAATCCTGTGTAATTGAATTTGTGATCGTTACGTCACTGGCAGATGTAGAGCCTAATGGAGATACCGCCCAGATACTCCCCTGCTCATCGCACTTCAGGGTAATAAATCCATTATGAGAACAAAGTGCTCAAGGACTGAATGTTTTCTGGTCTGTGTTTGCAGTTTGATCTGCTCATCATTTTTTATCTGTAAAAAGCACTGTATGCTTTTTTTGGGGTCTTGAACAGAAACAGCCCCATTGGGCAGGTTGAGTAAATACAGGCACATTCATGTGGGAAGGTCTCCTGGAATGAAATGTAGCTGAGTGCTAACTATCACGGCAGGTGTTTGGGGCTACTTAACGATGCCTCTCGGACACTGGCTTAGAAAATGCACCTCTGCCACACCCACCCGACACGGGACCGAGGTCACATGACCAGGCAGAAGCCCTCTGGCCCACACAGTTGGTTGATTGCAACAAAGCCTGGTTCAGAGGTACTTGGGGGGGGGGGGGGTTTGGAGTAAGACGATTCCAAG